AAGAAACATCTATCACTTGAGGAGAAACTCACCTGCAGGAGGCTGGATGGGAATTGCTGAAAGGAGAAAAAGAGCCAATCAGGACCCTTCATGGGCTGGAGGACTCAGAATGTCCACCTACCCATTGACAGCCCATAATAGGTTGCAGGATGCTCACTTATACAGTAGACTCTCAAAGAACAGAATTTCCCAAGCAAATATCCAAGGGGAGCCTCCTTGCCATCTGCTAAGGTTGCTGAGAGGCCTCCCCTGGAGTGTCCCCTCCCCACAATCTCTCATCCAGCCCCCCAGACTCACCTGTCTTGCTCTTCAGGTAGAGGGAGAGCCCCATGGCAAAGAAGATCACCCCGATCACGGCTGCCACGATCCCCGTCCAGAGTTTGCTCCTGGCCGAGTTGGAGGAACGGGGCTCTGGGGAAGGAGAAGGAGCCCCCCCTGAGCAGGAGGATCAGGGCCAGCTTCCCACCCCCTCCAGGAGGGTCCATCCCAGCTCCACCCACAGGGAGGGTCTCTCCCCCCTTCTCAGGGCAGGATGGGGTCCCCAGACAAGGAGGAGATGGAGGGGAGGGGCTCACCCCACTGGACGGTGATGGGGGCCTCCAGGCTGGCGTGCCCCACCTGGCAGGCGTAGACATCCCCCCGCTGGGGTTGGGTCTCCAGCATCACCTGGAGCTGGTAGGTCCAGTCTCCATTCTGGAGCTCCTCCCCAAAGGCCACGCCCTCCTCTTCTGGCCGCCCATTCTTCAGCCACCGGACCTCGATCTCCACGGGGTAGAAGCCCCTCGCGGTGCAGAGGAGGATGGTGTGGGGGGAAGCGGGATCCAGCTTGGTGGGGGAGATGGAGACGGTGGGCTTGGCTGGAGGGGAGGAGGGGGAGGAGGGACACGGGGGAGGGGAGACACAGGAGGGACCAGAACAGGAGACCAAGTTGGTTAGTTCAAGCCAAGATCCCTTTTCTCTCCTGAAAATATTATTTGCTTTAAGTCATTTCCAAAGCAAAGAGCCTTCACTAATTCCCTTTTCCAGACCTTTGGAAGTTCCCTTTTTATCCTAAAATCCCAAAGGCCCCAGAGGTGAAGGGAGCCCCTCCCCCATTCCTGGCCTTCAGGAAAGGGGTGAGAATGGGGCTCTGGGGCTTTGCTTGGGGGGCACAGAGGAGGAGGCAGCCGTGGGGCTGGTAAGCCTCCTGAAGCCCCCCCCCCTTTTCATGCATTTTTATCACTGTATTTTAATCATTCCTGCCTTTTAAATCTTAAATTGTATAGACTATTTTGGTGGTTTTACATTTTATGTGTACACCATGCAAAGTCCCTCTGTGTGTGAGAGAGAAAGACAGTTTTAAAAGTTGATAAGTTGATTTATTAATTTAAAATATGATATTGAAATATTATATAATATAGATTATTATTGAAATATATCTATATACTGGGAAAGAGAGAGACCTTGCTGGATTCCTCCCCCCCCCCCGAAAAATATAATATTTGGTATAATATTCTGGAAAGAAGTTTTTCTGGGCAGGGGAAACTTTGAACCGTGGGAAGAGAAGGAAGATGAT